AGCCTGTGACTTCCACTATTTTAGATGGAATCCACTGTGGACTGTTTCCATAGTTCCGAGCCCATACTGGTTCCTGAGGAGAGAAGGTATGCAGATTCCTAGATGACAAAGCAGAATACAGCTCCTGTTCTGTTGTTAGACTGCAAGTTACTCACAATATTAGGGTGGACATGATCTAGGCATGTCCTAAGACAATGTCTTATAAGTAACTCAGCTGGGCTGGACCCAGTTGAGGGGCAGGGTGTAACATGTTGTGCCAACAGGAATCTTGCCAGTCTGGTTGCCCAGTTCCCAGAAATTATGCTTTCCAGTGCATCTTTTGTAGTCTGTACCATTCCCTCTGCTTTCCCATTTGCCTGAGGTCTGTGTGGTGCCACTGTGATAGTCCTAATGATATTTTTTATTAGCAAAGTATTGGAAAATTGCAGAGGTGAATGCAGCACCATTGTCTGAAACAATTGTGTCTGGCACTCCATGAATTGCAAAAAGTTGACGGAGAACTGTGATGGCAGCATTCCAGGTTACAGCTGGGATGATGGCTACTTCAAGATATTTTGAAAATGAATCCACAATAATTAGGAAGAATTTGCTCTGGAAGGGGCCAGAAAAGTCTATGTAGAGGTGAGACCAAGGCCTCTTTGTCACTTCCCAAAGAAAAACTGGAGTGTTTGGTGGATTGCGGTGGGTAGTTTGACATATGTTGCATTCACTCACAACCCTTTCAATCTCAGCGTCTAGCCAGGCCACCACACGTAACTTCTGGCCTGTGCCTTCATTTGCACCATACCTGGGTGTGCTGCATATAGAGTTCATAGTATGACTCAACACCCTACTTCTGGAATTACCACCCTGTTTTCCCATAGTAGACAATCCTTATGAGCTGATAATTCATACTGATGGGATGAAAATGGCCTGAATACTTCAGCCAGTTTTTCTGTGAGCCAACCCCTCCATACCCAGTTGAGAACACATGCCAAGATGGGATTGTTTGTTGTCATTCAGGCAATCTGTGCAACCTGAAGAGGGGGTTCTGGCACGGATTCCAATATAAGGACTTCTTTGGTGGAGGAATGGCACAGTCAGGTATCTGCAGAGGTAGACAGCTTAAGGCATCTGCATCTGCAATTTCTTTCCCTGGCCTATAAGTGAGGTTATAATCATAAGCATTCGGTACAATACTCCAATGTTGCATACAGGCAGATAAAATGGGAGGCGTTGGTTTCTCTTTGGTGAAGATTCTGCGAACAGGCTTGTGGTCTGTTTGGATTTCAAAAGGATGACCATATACATATTTATGACATTTTTTAACTCCTGCCACAATAGCCAATGCCTCTTTATCAATCTGAACATAGTTGCTTTCAGTTGGGGTCATTGTCCTAGAATAAAAAGCAATTGGTGCTCCTGTACCATCTGGTAGTATGTGACTGAGGACAGCCCCAACTCCAAATGGTGAGGCATCACATGTAATGGACAGAGGTCTTCGTTCATTATAGTGAGCGAGTACAGAGTCAGAGGTCAACAACTTTATTATGGCCAGAAAAGCTTCTTCATGTTTCTGAGTCCACTTCCATTGAGCACCTTTACCTAGCAGGCAATGAAGGGGTTCCTGTATAGTGGCTTTGTTTTTTAACAAAATATAACAAAAATTTAAGACTCCCAGAAATGCCTGAAGCTCTTCCTTGCATTTTGGTCTAGGGGCATGGTCTAGGGGCCTTTACCTTATCCTGTGTAGGGTGGATACTAGCTGCCTCAATCTGGTATCCCAGGAATGTGATGCTTCGATACTAGCTGCATCAATCTGGTATCCCAGAAATGTGATGCTGGGAACTCCCAGCTGGGATTTCTCTTTTTTAACTGTGATGCCTGAAAGATCAAACTTCTGCAGAACCTTTTGAGTCAATTCATGAGTTGGTCTTTAGAGGAGGCCATAATTGATACATCATCTAAGTAAGGCACAATCCCAGGAATACTGCTAATAAAGTTTCCATGAAGCATTGAAAGATTCCTGGTACTACTGAGATTCCAAATTGAAGGTGTTTCACATTAAAAGCTCTGTGCGTAATAATGGTTCAATTACTTGCAGCCTTGTCATCCACTGTCAGTAGCTGATAGGCTTGAGAAAGGTCCTGTTTAGCAAAAAACCTTTCTTCCTGCTAGGACAAACAACAAATAGTTTATGGCGGGCACAGGATATGGGTTGTGCTTGAGTACCTTATTTACAGTACATTTGTAATTCCCACAAATATGTATGTTGCCATTTGGTTTCAAGACAGGAACAATAGGGGTGGCCTGGGTTGTGTGAGTTGCTGGCTCTATCATTCCTTGTGCAATGAGTTGATCAAGTTCTTCATTGAACTTTTGTCTCAGGGTGAAAGGAACATTCCGGGCCTTCAAGCAAATAGGTATTATGCTAGGGTCCGTTTGAAAAGTCACTGGTGGACTTTTGTATGCTCCCTAATGCCTCAGTGAATACATGTGGGAACTCAGATGCCAGTTCTTCAAGTATTTATTGCTGGACAGACACTATGTACCCCTTGAATACTGATTCTCAAGGGTGTGAACCAGCTTCTTCCCAGCAGGCTTTTATGAATCCCTCTTGTAACTAGCAGTAATGTCTGTCTGAAATAATGCACAGCATTTATTTAGATCTGAAAGAAATTTTTGTGAATGAGCAAGGATATTAGTGGTTCTTTGTACCATTAGAAGTGGATTAGAGATAGGGTTGCCAGGTCCTCAGTGGGGGACTTTGGGGGGCATTACTGGAGGGGGTGGGGAGTCCCCAACGTGATGACATCACACAGAAGTGACGCCATCATGTTGGGAAGCAGCAACCCCCACCTCTCCCCAGCAGCATTTAAAGGGTCTCTTTAAACACTGCTGGGGAGAGGTGGGGGAGGGGAGGCCACATGCGCCTGCATTCCAAAACCCAAATTCGGAGCTTAGAGTGCAGGCGCGTGGCCCCTGCTTCTCCCCAGCAGCATTTAAAGACATCCTTTAAATGCTGCTGGGAAGAGGTGGGGGGAAGACCATGCGTGCCTGCATTCCAAGCCCTGAATTCGGGGCTTAGAGTGCAGGCGCGCAGCCCCCCCTCTCCCCAGCAGTGTTTAAAGCATGTCTTCAAATGCTGTTGGGAAGAGGGGGAGGCCAGGTGGTCGCTCTTGGGGGAGGGGCTTCCCCCCACTCACCAGCTGGCTTGCAGCAGGAAGGAGCCCCCAAATCAGCCCCCCATGGAACCAGGGGGTTTGGTAACCCTAATTAGAGACGCCAGGTTGCCTGCTTTGGCGCACAACCTCCCTGTCTTATCTTTGGTCCTCCACCGCTGCTCAGTAATGTGGCAGAGGAAGGGAGGGGCAAATGGTGTCCCATGACAGCATGATGTCACTTCTGGCTATGTAACTGTGTTGCAGGACTTTCTAAGATTCTCTTGGGAAACTGTGGTTTTCAACCATAGAGTTTCAGGGAAATCCTAAAATGACCTGCAACACAGTGATGTCACTTCCAGGTATGCAGCTGGAAGAGACATTGCAGGATTTCAGGATGCCATTTGCACAAGTCTCTGTCCTCCCCAAGTCTCCTGGGGGTTCTCAGCCAAGGGCTGGAAACCCAAAATAGATGTCACTGAGTATGATCAAAAGTCATCTATTCTGAAGCCTACCAATAAGAGATGTTTTTTGGGGAAAATGGATACTTTCATTTCAGAATTCAATCAAAAATGAGACATCCACTGATAGAGATGAGTACCTGAAGGAAAAGAAGCAGATCTATAACAGTTACACTTTCGCTACAGCTCAATGGATGTGCTGAGAAAGATCTGCAATGCACATGTGTATATGAAAGTGCTAGGAAAAGATCTTGTCACACCCTGACTGCTTGGGAGGAAAGGTTTCAGGGTTACTGGCAAAGGGTTACTGGCTTTGGAAGTGTTGCATGCTTTCAAGGATCCTTAACTCATCCCACACTCCACAATCACTCCCACACAGGGATTAATGTCTGCTAGGCAACCTGTCCCTCAATCTGAACACTTTCCCTTAGCAGCAGCTGCCTATAACTAAAAACTACATTATCCAGTTCCTTTCTCTTATGAAATTAATGTGTTTTAAAATTTAAAAAAAATACTCCAGTAACAAAAACAGAAAGTGCATGAAATCTGGGACAGAAACCCCACTGGGAATAAAGCTCAGTTGCTGATTTCCAGAAGGTTTTGTAGCCTACGAATTACTTTTTGCTGCTCCCCCTACAGGAATGGAAGAAATTCTGAATGCTTCCTACTTTGTCCAAAGAACAGTGTGTAGCCCTTTACAGGTGTCCAGTTTGGATGCTTTTAAGAGAGGCTGAAAAGAGATGAAAGAAGTAGTCCCTCACCCCCTATATTGCCCCAAAGTAGCTTTGGCTGAATAAATGTCATGTTTCTTTAAACCTTGGAACTATGCAGTTGCCCAGACAACACAGCAATACCTGTCTTTCCGTAGAATAAGATGCAGTTGCCAGGGCAACGGCATCCTGTCTTTCCAGAGACCATCCTGTAATGTGGAAACGGCTGTTTCCATAGTAACCTTTTTGCCCCAGTTAATTCTCAGTGGCAGGGCTTAACTCGCTTTAATATTTGTATTTCATATTTTAAAATAAATCCTCCTTCTTCAAGCCATCTTCAGTTTCAAGCTCAGGATGCACTTTCCACAGTCACAGAGTCAGGGCGTTAGAGAGCTGCAAAGTGGCAGGCAAAGCAGGTGTTTGGGAAGCAGTTACCCGGGCAACAGAAACAGGGCGTTCCAGAGGTGGTTGCTATGGGGAACTGGATGCTGACGAAGGCTTGTGAGGCTGAGAAGACAAATTGCCCTCATCATTATCTCCAGGCTTGTCAATCATACATATTCGCCTATTTACCTCTGAGAGGGAGAGCGCACTAGGAGTGAAGAGAAAAACCAGAAAGTGTGTGCTCCAGAGAGGAGAGGTGTTCGTGTAGAACTTCAAGCCAGGGGAGGCAGTCACCACCATCCAGGATGGCAACCATCACCTGCAACCGGTTCACAGAAGAATATCAGCTCTTTGAAGAGCTGGGAAAGTAAGTCTGAGACATCTGGGGATAAAATCATTGTGTTGAATGAGAATTCTGGACTGAAGAATATGTGGGGGTGGGGGGGAGAAGAAGGAGACAGTGAGCAGAATGGGAACAGCTGGCATCCCAGGGGGAAGAAAAGGCAATGAAGTGAACAGTAAAACAGACTCACAGAGGAGCAGGGAATTGCAGGCTCTAAAGAGAGCAGAAGGGGGATGCTCAGGAGGAAGAACAAGTCCTGGGAGCTGGCACACAATCTCAGCTTGCTGCTTAAAATTAGGATTCTATTTCCCTCCAGTTTTGTAAGGCAAAAGGATCAGCATGTGAAGGGTTAAAATCCCTTGATGGCATGGTTCACTCCATGGGGGGGGGGGAGTGGGTGTTGTCTGTGGTGGTGAAAAGACCTGCTAAAGAGGTCCAGGGCACTATGATCCTACTTAAAGATTACTCCAAGATCCACATTTCTCTGGAGAACTGTAATGTGCTTCATTTGCCTACCAAGGAGCAACTTCCTGGGGAAGTCACCGTCTAACCAAAGTAACAGACACTGGAGGTTTAAGGGTCCTAGACAGCACCTGTCCCGTTGCCCATATTCACCAAACTGATGCGCGGAAGCATTTATGGGAATACAGTGGGAACAGTGTGAGGAGCTGTCAGCTGGATTTTGTGAGATTGTAATGAACAGATGGGGACTGTGTTTAGTTTTGCATATTGGACTACCTCTTTGCATGCACACCTAGGTTTGCATCCCTCTTTTACTGTTGACTTGCATGTTTGTTTAAGTATATTTCTGTGTGTGTGTGAGAGAGAGAGAGAGAGTGTGTGGAGGCACATGTGTAAGTTTAGGTGTTTGTTTCACTCTGTTTACTGCACTGGAGGGTTTATTTTCCTCACTCCCATTGAAATATGTGGCAATTTACTTTAAATGATCAGACCCTCTTATATGTGTCTTTTGATATCCTTCCATTTGTAATGTATAAGCAGTCTTGCTGCTAATGCATCTTTGTGTGTATCTGTTTTACTTATCAGACACATTTATATTGTATATGTATTCTTGGCAGGATATCTCCATTTAAATGTAACAAAGTACATGTATGGATTTGGGGTATGTGTTTTGTTGGAATTATGTACAAATGTTCTGCATATGTTTGCCATGTTCTCCAAGTGTCTTGATATGCACATTCCCCCTCCCTCTTTGAACCCCTCATTTTCTGGGTGTGCAACATACTGTGAATATGTGCCTCTGATTTAAACATGGAGGCATGTCTGTAGGTGTGAATGTTTCTACAAGTAAATGAGCTGGTACTTCATACATATATGTTTTTGTGTGTAAGTCACTGGAGATAATTTTTGGATGTATTTCAGTATAAAAGTATGCAAAACTGCAAAAAATATTTAGGGCAAGGAAGAATCTAGGAGGAAAAAAATCAGACTTCTCTATTTGAGGTGGCTGGCACTTGTCCAAAGCAGAGAATAACAGGGATAAATCCTGTCGGAGTCAACTCTACATAAGATGGTTGAATTAAACTGGTTTATATAAGCTGCGTCCCTCTGACTTGTGTACATCCACATACTTACAGAGAACATATTGATTCACCAGACACTGTATTTATTTTTTGGGGAAAAATAGAATGATTCAATCATGCAAGGGTGGAGGAAGGATGAGTCAGTGGTCAGATCTCTACAAGAAGTGGATATGCAGCTTTCATCTTAGGAGTTAAACACAGTACTTTAACTTATGCCCACAAAAGAGTCTAACCAATCTCTTCCAGAGGTGACTAAATCTCCTCCCCACCCAAACCCTCATGCAGGTACCATTTTGAGCAGTGACTAGGGCTGTGGTATTCACAAGACCTACAGGCTTGGATGGAAGAATTCTAATGAGCTGCATTGAGATGATACATAGATTAGAAAGATGACTGTAAAGAGGAGAGTCTACCAACTGTACAGGTTAGGTAACACTGGCCTAAATGCCAGTTTTCTTGAATGGCCTCACTGTGTGGTCACCAACATTTATGACTGAGCTTTTCAGTTTCTTGGATCCTTGCTCCTGCTGTGTTACTTGCCTCTTCAGCCCACTCAGGAATTCTTGTGTACGGAAGAGTGTGGAGAAGCCTCTATTTTTCTTCTTTTTTAATCTATCTCAGAGAGAGGTGTGAAGCCAAACTAGGATTGTTGTCATAAAGAAGCCCATGGATGGCTGCATGTGCAAGAGAAAAATGATTAGTGTTGCGTGGGAAAAAAGGATATGTATTGCATGGGATGTGATTGTATCTTTGCAGAGCAGACGCACAGTGTCTGCTACCCAGACTTGACTTTGGGCACTGACACACATTGTTATAATGTTGTCTTGATAACACAAAATATATTATCCAGCACGGTTCCAAAATGGCCACTTCTTCAGACAGAGTAAAACAAATGGAACTTGCCAACCTGTGCAAAGTATCACAGGGTATCTGTTTCTTAAGATATTTTAAGGAATTCTCATATGGAAGACACTGTTGGAGATTGTCTCTATAGGACATTAAGAAGTCTGTTTAATGCGCCCTTCTTCAAATACAAGCTGAATCAAAGAATTTAGACATTTTACCTTCAGAGCGTATTCACCTATTTTGGTAAAGCATATGCTAGTCATGAAACTGACCTGTTGACAAAGAATCCATTGATATAGAAGGAATTTTCTGAACAGTCGCTCTGTCTCTGTCTCTGTCTCTGTCTCTCTCTCGTTATTAAACATCATTTGGATACAACCATTCTTATTAATATACATTATATTTTTGCAGAATTGCTTAGGGTCATTTAATAAGGGCCACATAATCTCATTTCAGTCAATACGGTGATAATGGGCATATAAATCTCACAAGAATAAAGATGGCCACATTCTTCCCCTAATCAAGTCAACAGACTTGAATTAAGTCATTCTTGCTACAGCATTCTTCATATACATATGTTTGGAACACATCAGATTGATAAATCAAACCTTGAACATTGTTTAACTGAAGGAAAATCATTTTAGACCCACTCAACACAATATTTTTCTAGGGGAGGGGGAAATTGTTCACATTTTATTTATTAATTGTTATGTTTTATACCAAAGAGTTTTCTGCCTGGCTTTCCCACACATTTATGGAAGACACTGCTTTCAGAATTATTTTCGAGAGAGGGTATCTAAAGCATTGGCAATCCAGATTTCCTCAGCTACAGCTTTAAGAACTGGAGATTTTCTTATATATTCAGAATAATACAATAACCCTGTATCAGATTTGCAGTGCTTTGTAAAATAGTGTATGAGTGTGTGCACACGCACACACCCGTGTGTATATATAGTTGGTTAGGTAAACATAATGTTTACATTGTTCTGTCATGTGTTGTTCTAATATACGGCTTTAAAATGACAGGAAGGTATACCTGGGTTAACTGCTTGGGAAACTGTTCTCACATTAGATTAATTAAGCAATGAGACACATAGCCTTGGACATCCGGAATCTATTTGTTTAGAGATTTACAAGGAAAGATGGGAGACTATGCATGGGACATCCATAATTAAAGCACTGCTTTCTTAACAGTTTCCAGAAAGAGGGGTCTTGCACGAATGAGGCATGCTGAATCAGTGTGCTTGACATCCTCAGTCCAAAATGGGTTTATTTCATCCCCCCGTTGATCATTGCCAGTCCAAACAGACTTGCACAGTCAGCATAGCTACCACAACATCTGTGGCAAATAAATAGTACCAGTAGCCCTCCAATCTTGTGCTAAATGGTATCCTCTCCTACAGGGAATCAGTTAAAAATAATAATGAACAATGATGTTTATATTTACTCATGTCTGGATGTCAGAGGCAAGAATGACAGGATGACTTTATACGCCTAAAGGCACTTTTATACGCCTAAAGGCACTTTTTATACTTTGCTTTTATCTTTATGACACAGCCCCAAAGTTTTTAAAAATCCAAGATGAGCATATCTTGTAATTGTTTGAAAAAATTCATAGGGGTTTCTCTCTCTCCTTCTCTCTCTCTTGATTACAAATTATGTTTCATTTCTTGACTTTTGATGACTACTTGATAGAATTTAAATTTTCCTTTCACAATTCTTTTTTATTTTAGTAACTGGATTTAGGTAAGCTACAATAGCTATTCATAGCTAAACTGTTAGAAATCCTAATATCATGTATTAAACAGCCTCTGTTTTAAAGGATAGAAGGAAGAAGACCATGACTAGTTCTAGCCAGAAAGACATTGCGTAAACTATTATACAACAGCTTGGTGCTTAACAGCAGGATTTTTATAATTAGTGGCTAGGAGGTTCCTTTGGAGGAATAACTCTTGCTCTCTCATTACACTGGGTATCTGGCTTTTTTTTTTTTTTTTTGACTAGCTATAGCATTTGGATATGTACCTTACCACATAGCTACCCTCTACCCAGGGCAAAATTATGAGAATTAGTTTTTGTCCCCTGGGTGGTGGTAATGAGGATTAAAAAGCAGAGGTGAAGAGCTGGCACCACAACAAATGCATCTGTCTCCAATGTGTCCTTTTGTTGGCACTGCTGAATGGTTCGGTTCAGAATATGCCTGTTTTCTTCCAGCATGAGAAGGCAATATTCCCAGAATTCAGTTCATCTTTTTGCATTTCTTGAGTCTGGCGGTGTGGCTGAAATCCCAGCAGCCTCTCTTCAAAGGTGAAGAGGGAAAGCTAGTATCTCCTCCTCAAGGGCCTGCTGTTAAGACTGTGAATCAAAGAACAGAGAGGAGCTGATACTTTGAAGAAAGCAGACATTTTTCTTTCTTTACAATTGTCATAAAAGCATAGTCTGTCCCAAGGGGAGAGGGGACGAGAGGGGATCACTAAGGGACATGAAGTAAAACGAAGAGGGCAGGTGGGGGGGGGCGTTCCTCGGAGAAAACGAAGGAACCAGAGGAAAACAAAGAAAAGCAATAGACGGTCTCTTTCTGAGTTCCTTGAAACTACCCCCATGGTAGGTGAAAGAAGGGGCTGAGTGAAATTA